AAAACCTCTATAGTTTCTTATTATGCGAACGAGTTTCTTTAGAAGTCTCGGTTGCTATTAGGGCTGCGTGAAGGGTAACCTCCCATTCATTTTTAAAGGTGATAATTTTGCCTTCCTTTTAATTAAATTTTATACTTCAAAAGAATTCTTGGCCGATTCTGCTCCCACAAAGATAAACTACATAGTTTTTGAGCTTTTCCATACTACCGGCTGTATATACCATCTTCTGCTGAAAAATACCTATTTTTTCCTAAAGTTGCACTGATTTATGTTTATCACAATTGCTAGACCGTCTGTTTTCGATGGGGTTTTATGATAATGTGTCTAAGGGTTTAAATCACAGTCAAAATCACTGAACCATTTTTAAAATGATAGAATTGGGGAACTCTCAACTAATTTTAGCGACTTCCCTGAAAGTATTGGAAGCATATATTTGCAAATGAACATTTTGAATGGGCCGAAAAGAAAACTTTCTTGGTTAACAAACAAACATCAATGCTTTACAAGTCATTCCTAAGGAATGTTTGGCACATATGCAGACAATTTCAGGAGTCATACACAAAATTCCTAAAATTTAATTGATAAAGCAACTGCAACAGTGCTTTATATATTTGTCTAATTTTTGGTTTCGTGAGTTTAAAAAATAAGTTACAGATAACCGTTTTTTCCTAAAGCCAGTACACTTCGGTCAAACAATGTCGGCAGATTTGGGCAATCTGGCGATAAATGTATTGAATAAACTTAAGGCCAATTTCACTGATTGTACATAGAAATAAAAGACGGTTCCTCTTTTACAATCTTATTTAAGGCATTCAAAAATATTGGTTACGTTTTACTAAATACACATTATGAGATGACTTTAAAAGATTAAGCGGGATTATATTTGCTGAAACAATTACACAGGAAGCGATAGCGTTAGTAAGCACATTTATTTTGAGGTACTTAAAATTCCTTTCATAAAGAAAATAAAAGTTCTTTGTATTCTTTGTTTAATTGCGCACATCAAGTGGTCCCACTAACTGAGAAGGAAACACTATATGAAGTACTCTGGAGGAGATATCAGATAGTTTATTCTAAACTTACGATCTTTTGGTTGAAAACCTGCTTAAGTAATAATGTTGAAGTAAGTATACCTACAGAAGCCGCCCTTCGCACGTTTGATGATACTCCGCATAAGGCCTTCCGCCACACAAAGTTTAATGCGTTGCAGTAGATAGCCCGAAATGTTCCTCATAAATAATGTCCCATCTCAAGAGTATTACAAAATTTTCAAGTCAAGCAACCATTTTAAATAACAAGGGCTTTCATGAAAATTTACTATCCCTCAATAATCTGCGCACGCATACTCCAACAACCTGGCTATAAATAAGTAAGGGCATTACTGTGTAGTAAACTTTCCCACTGCATTTTTATTTCCTCCGTAATTTGCAAAGCGTAATGCCTCCACAAAAGTATCCTTAAGGCGCATTTTTATTTCACCTACCTGATTTTTAATCACACTACCGGAAGAAAGACGTCTCCAGTCCGTTGGCGTGCTGGAACAGTCTGCTTCTGCATAGGCTTTATCCGACGCCAGGGTCTCATTTCCAACAGCATACTTATAATCCTGCAGATCATTGGCATCATCAACGCGACTGCGCAGATGTCGTTCCACAAACTCCCAATGCTCCATGTGTGTGAACTGATTTGCGCGCATTCGGTAGAGTTTCGCGCCAGTTGCATACTCAGCATTGTGCTGCTTAATAAACTCCATATTCTTACGCCAGACACCATATCGGTAGAACTCCTCCTCAATCGTATAGAAGGAGATATTGAGTTGATGCTTCCAGGCCAGCCACGCCACGTCACGCTGTGGTAGGGAACCGGAAGCTCGGATAACTTTGGGAGCCTTTGAGCCCAGCCCCAGATCACAAAGGACCACCAGGAGTGCCAGGGAGACCAAACAGCAGACAAGAATGCAGAAAAGAATGACGAGTTGCAGACGCGGCCACATTGTGTCAGTGCGTGTGTG